ACAACAGATTAAATTTCAGCTGTCATTGCTCCTTGTATTTTCGCACAGGTTTAGTAACAGAGCCCGACAGCCCTGAAGACAAAATTGTGGTCCCAAAACGAGGACGTTCCACCAAGGTGCCGGTGTCCAGCGTCCTCATTTAAACTGCTGCGTGCTTTAGAGCCCTCAGGGCTTGTCCATGGTGGAGCAATGAACATGCAATGCCTTGTTCTCCCCCCGCTGGTGGGACAGCTTGTATCCTTTTCTGCCCGTTCACTGTCTGCTCACTCGGATGAATCGCCTGGTTTTGCTGCCGGTAGAACGTGACTTGAAAGAAGACCGAGCCTCCATCTTTGTGACTCTTACCAGCTTCATCTTCGGGGAATCAAGTTCCTCCGAAATATTTATTTTCTTTTGCTGCGGCAGTGCAGTACAAACAGCGGCGGGGATACAGTATTCGTGGTTTTTTAATTCATTTTTTATTTTTAAGACTGACAATTTTGCACAGTAATTCCTTTGATATCTTAATAAAAGTTCACTGGAGGTCCAGGTACTTGAAGACCACCCAAACACCACGGCTCCCCAAACACCACGGCTCCCCAAAAAATACAGATACCCCAACACCACGGCTCCCCAAACAATACAGCTACCCCAACACCACGGCTCCCCAAACACCACGGCTCCCCAAACACCACGGCTCCCCAAACACCACGGCTCCCCAAACACCACGGCTCCCCAAACAATACGGCTCCCCAAACACCACGGCTCCCCAAACACCACGGCTCCCCAAACACCACGGCTCCCCAAACACCACAGCTACCGAAACACCACAGCTACCGAAACAATACAGCTACAAATGGCAACGAAATCATCCAAATCCGTTTGTTTTGAATATGTTTTATATCTGCGACAGATTGCACTTCACAGGTAAGTTATCTCCTACACGGTGGAGAAGCCAACGTCCCAGCACTTGGTTTTGAGCAGAGTTTAAAGACTTGATTTCTTTCTTGTCCATTGAGGGATAAAGAGGATCTTTACCCACCAAATTCATGGCTCCTAAATCGGTAACTTTTAAGGCATGGGGTCAAGGTTACCAGTGTGTTTATTTCAGATCGCAATGGAACCTTCAAGCCCTCAGATGGCTGGTGTCATAGCTGATCACATGTGCAGCTCCATACCAACTCCAATCCAACTGGAGGCTAAAGTGGCACCTACCTTGGCTGTAAGGGATAGGAGGTTGTAGGTCCTCTTTAACCTTCAGGGTGTCTCTTACATTGTTCCCTTATGGCAGGGATGTCCAAACTCTGGCCCTCCAGCTGTGGTGAAACTACAAATCCCATGAAGCATCTCTCTCCGGGAGTTATGTCTGTGGCTGTGAGAATCTTGCAAAGCCTCATGGGAATCGTAGTTCCACCACAGCTGGAGGGCCGCAGTTTGGACATCCCTGCCTTATGGGATCTAAATCTGGTTCAGTCTGTGTTTCAAAACCACCATTTGAACCAATTAGAGATGTTCTTTGTTCTCCTCTCGCTGACATGGTGGTGTTTCATGTAGCCCTCACCTCTGCGAGCGTCTGAGCTGGAGGCCTTATCCTGCAAAGAAGAAATATGGACACTGGCACTCCAATAGCAAATAGAATACGTCTGTTGATGTACATGTGAAAAAGCATAACACACTTAGTGCAATGTTTCGGGGTCTCGTAGGATCCCCTTCATCAGACAGAGCAAGGTAAAGGGGATTCTACCAGGCCCAGAAAGTGTGTTATGCTTTTTTGCATGTACATCAATAAATAGACGTATTCTGTCTGCTATTGGAGCGCCGGCGTCCAATATTTCTTCGCATGGTAGAGACGGTTGCCATCCCTTGACTACCGTTGTACCCACCTTATCTTGATGGAACAGCGGTCAGGAGTGCGATGAGTATATGGATTTTGACTTATGCGGTACAGAACCCTTTCTGGTCTTCACGAGGACATGAGGGTGTTGAGGTCCAGAACTTCCTTCCTACCAAAGGTAGTTTGGGCCTTTTAACCTCCACCAGGGTATCGTTCTTCTGTCCAGCTCCCGTTCATCAGAAGGAGATTTCCCGCCATTTCCTGGATGTGGTTTGGGCTGTGAGAGAAGAAAAGGAAGTGTCTCTGATTGGTTCAAAAGGAGACTTCTGACGTGAGATAAAGCAAGAGGTAGGGCTTGTGTCCACCATCGCGTACGTCTACCGCAATGTCCCAGGAACTGTGCGCAAGGGAGCGCATATATGAAGTCTACTTGCGGGAGGGTACATGGTAGTGTCATTCAAGTCAATGGCACTGCAGATACGCCCCCCGCCTGCATTGCAACAGAAACGTGTGGTCATAAAATGCCCTGTGTTTGACAATGCGGTGCGATCGCAAAAAAAAGTGCATGCGCTATTTTTTGCCGCCGCACTGGAACGCAGGGCATTTTATGACCACGCGTTCCTCTGCGGCTGATCATACTTCGTGTATGGGGGGTGTCTGCAGTGCTAATGACTCGAATGGCCCCAGAACGCAAGAAGACTTTATGTATGCGATCCCTTGCGTCCCGGGCACAGGACATTGCGGTAGCCCCGTGGGCTGGTGGAAACAAGCCCTTAAACCTAGGGACTGAACAGGGACGGCCATAACTGACGAGCGGGAGGTTAGTGCCTGCGTTCCTCAGTGGGTACCAAAAAATACAGCGAGTACAAAAATCCTACATCAAATTAAGTAGAGGCCTCAATTGCAAACATAAGTAAAAGTATCACCGTTAAGTGTGGCTTTACCTCATGGAACAACTAAATAGAGAGCAAAGCATACCCAGCATTAGCTCCTCAGGGGAGGAGCTTACTCGAGGCAGCTGTAGACCTTAGTGGTACCTACTGGGCACTGCAACATAGAAAACCTGACTAGCAGCTTATCGATTTATAGCCAGCATCTGTGCAGGGGAGGGAGTTCACTACACGGACTCAAAACCTCCAGGACGTGGTTGGGACATAATTACAGGTATTGATATAGAGTGACAATTTACACACTGATTTTTCACATCAGTCCCCGCCCTCAAGGAGCTTACTATCTAAGGTCCCTATATCACATGCACACACATACAAGGGCTGATTTAGACAGGAGCCAATTAACCTACCAACATGTCTTTGGAGAGTGGAAGGAACGGGAAAGCACAGGGGCAACATGCAGATGGGATCCTGACCAGGATTTGAACTATGGTCCCCAGTGCTACAAGGCAGAAGTGCTAACCACTGAGCCAGTGTGCTGCTTGATGATTGCTTTCCTGTTTAACATAGCAGGGGCCCTAAGTTGTGAACGTAGGTAGAGACACCACACCACTTTCTAGGGAGTACCAACACTGGAACATGAACACAAATCACTAAACTAAGAGCAACACCCAGCGTTCGGTACCTGGGGGAGGAGCTTACTTGTTTGGGGGGTATATTTAGATCTCATTGGTGCTCACTGAGCGCTGGGAACACAAAACATGTCAACCAGCTTATCAATTTATAACCAGCATCAAACAAACAGCACATTGGTCAGTTTTAGGTATCAGAAGGGGCCCCCTAAAACCTGCTCATACAATCTCTATTACTACCTGCCAATGGATGTGGAAACTGTCACCACTATGGAGGTGTATTGGCTTATCAGAGTCCTCCGAACTATACAGTTTCCGGCACCGGGTGGAAGAGATGGAGACAAACGAATAAATACAAAGCTTTGCAGACAGAGAGCAGAGCAATGTCTTGTGTGCTTGTAATGAAGGGCCGCCTCCCTTGTCCATGGACTGCGGACTATAAAGGAAGGAGCTGCTGGCCGGTGATGTCCGGGAGTTCCGATGGAGATACGGTTCAATTATTCTTGTTTATAAAGGGAATTCTTCGGAGCCATTGTCATTCCGTGTTCTCCATTACAAATCATTTTTGGCGCAGTGGATGGAATTCTCAGATTCTTGTGGGGATTATAATTCTTCCCTTTAAACATGAGTCCTATTCATTGGAGGGTTAGAATTGGGTTTGCAGTGATGAGCCGGGCACAGGAGCCTCGGGAATAGAATTTAAGGAGCAGCAAAACATATAGAAGGGGCAGAGAACCTCAGCACTCCAGCTGTTGTGAAACTACAAGTCCCACTAGGCATTGCAAGACTCTTAAAGCCACAGGCACGACTTGAGGCATAGGGGGCGTGGCTGGGGAGGCCTTGTGGATGGAACATCGGAGGCTGAGCAATAAATGGTTAATATCTCTGTCAAATGCGATGGTGGAATCTTGCTGTTCAAAAAAAAAACTAACACTTGAAATTGGACTAATATTCTTGTGGTATGGAAATTAAAGCTGAACTCTGGCCACAAAAAAAAAACTATAATTGTTTTCCTCAATAGCCACACATGATATACATCCAAATTGTGCACACCGACTGCCCTGCAACACACAGATCACCTTGTAAAAGTAGCAGTGACATCATCATTGTGCTGTACATAGCCTGTGCACAGATCTGGGAGGGACCTAGCAGGCTCCACCCATTCAAGGCTAACTGCAGGTGTGGGCGGAGACAAGACCAGTCACCCTGCACAAGGAGAGAGAGAGCAGCAGTGAGCGGTCTTTATTACAGGAGGGGGCGGAGACAAGACCAGTCACCCTGCACAAGAAGAGAGAGCAGCAGTGACCCGTCTTTATTACAGGAGGGGGCGGAGACAAGCCCAGTCACCCTGCACAAGGAGAGAGATCAGCAGTGATTGGTCTTTATTACAGGAAGGGGCGGAGACGAGACCAGTCACCCTGCACAAGGAGAGAGATCAGCAGTAAGCGGTCTTTATTACAGGAGGGGGAGGAGACGAGACCAGTCACCCTGCACAAGGAGAGAGAGCAGCAATTCCCTCACTAGAGCTCTCCTTTAATGTTTTTAAGGCCGGGAAGATCTTAAAAGACAATGTAATCAGATCCAGGCGCTGACACTTGTAGTCATAGTGAGTATAAACCAAACCATTACGTTCCTAGCCATGGGCCCTATGTGGGGGTGGGGGGGATACAATGGCTATGGGAGGAAACGTGACGGTATAGAAAATTTACTATTGTAAAGTTACCTGAACGGTCCATGCCACCTAACTCCACTCCGATCCTCAGAATCCTTCATTTGATGTCCACTGGGATACCATTATTTCTAGGAGTGTCCATCTCCTCGCTCCCCATGGCTCTCTCTAGTTCCTCACTGTGACCT